ACAAAGTTCACAGCTCCAAGCCACTAACCAGCACCCCGAATCATACTTTCAAGGCATTGGATTTGGGGCTTCGGGCATACTTCAAATGAATGTTTTGGGAGGATTGCATTATCATGAAACATGAAAATACGAGTACAAAAACGGCAGTTGTATAGTTTCCTGCAGTTCAGTGCCTAGGCCTCGGTGTCTGTTTGCTTTGCTCCGCATCGCTTTGGAACGTGCATTAATGCTTGTTTGGGTCGTCGTGAAGCGCGTTCTGCTTCGCCCTAAACCCTAAACTACCCGACCTCCCTGTTCAGGTCTTTCTACCACTTCTCCCAGATTCAAGACTCTCGGCTTTGTTCAGCTTCTTGAAGGCGTGCAACGTGCAGCCCTCCCCTTCACCCACTATGAAAAAATAGTTCGATTGGGAGATTCGAATACAACTAAGGGTTACTTCAGACGCGAGTAAGACCTCGCTCGCAAATTGCCTATTTAGCAGCTACTTTGTGCTTCGTTATAAAGACCCCGAGTCCATGACTCGCAGCTAAGCACTCATGAGTTCCCGCATCGCATATGGTACGCGGAGTTGTTGCAGTCTAGAACAGCAAGACATGCCAAGCTTTGTAAGCGAGGTCTTAATTCAAACGTAGCCCTTGAACCAAAAATTGTTTCGTGTAGGGGCTGATTCTATTCATTTGAAACACATGCCCTCTAAAGTAGTTGATACTTTCATGAATAGTGAGCCCCCGAAGTAAAATACACGTTGTTGGCCAGGGTGTTTCACTTAGTGTGAGGGCAGCTGTACGACTTTAACTACTTACATACGACGACGAAACAATGAATCAACAAAAGCATGAGGTTGAAAAAACAAACCAAAACAACATCTGGAACTCTTGGATATTAAGGATGATCAGTGTCCATTTCAACTAGTTGTCTTGTTCTTTCGTCTTTTCGTTTGCTTTTTGTGCTATTTGCTGGTCTGCGCTTTTTGGCGTCCAGCCACTGTGCTTCGGAGAGTCAGCACAACGTGCAACGTAAAACAGCGCGGCAGTGTCTTACCCCCCCCCCCCCCCATCCATTGCACGTCATACAATTCAATCATGTATGGGGCTTACCCCAAAACATAACACATAATCATGTATAACATATAGCGACCACCTGTTAAATCAAATGACCTATTACCTGAAACGAGTATATCGTATCATACTGAGTTACTAGTTCATGGTTGGGATAGTGTAACTCCTAGTGAGTCTAAGTGCCCTCGAAACTGGAAAATGTTATCCCACTATGACAAAGCAAGTTATAGGGGTTGGAACAATTACCCATATGATTGCCCCTTCTAGCCCCCCTATATAGGTATACTATAGTAACCCCCCAGATCCCTATTCTACGTGATTATTAGGGAGCTAGAGGAATACTGTAGGAGCCGGGATGTTGAACAAGGAGCTCCGACCTTTAAGGATCACGGCTAAATCGGAGCAGCCGGCGGCACGGAAGACTTTGCCTTGGAATCCATTGGTAGTAGGGCTTTGTAGGACTTAGAGGTTTGGGGTTCAGGGGTTCGGGGGTTCGGGGGTTTAGGGGTTGAGGGGGTTTAGGGGGTTTAGGGGTTTTAGGGGTTTAGTGCTCTTTTATATCGGAGTTTAGGGTTTAGGGTTTAGGGGTTCAGGGCTTCGGGGTTGAGGGGAAGAAGGTCAGAATCCCCCCCCCCCCCTGAGCTCTGAAGTCGCCCAGGCCCGATCTAAGCCGCCGTCTCTCCCCCCCAATACTAACCCTCAACCTTGAATCCTAGAGTCCTAGACCCCTCAACTCTGAAATCCTGAGCCCTAAGCCATACAGCCCTACAGCCCTGAAGCCCTAAACCTTAACACCCCTGAAGCCCCTGCAAACCTGAAGAAAGACGTTTGGGGACCCGTCTGCAGGATGCCGCGCCCATGAGGAAAGCCTCAGGTCACGTAGGGTTTAGGGTGTAGGGTTTTAATATTTTGTAGGGTGGTGCTTTAAGGTTTCGGGTTTGGGGTTTCCTTCAAGAACTTCTGCAACTCCCTTTCTGTCCGTCTTTCTCCGCTTCCTTCCTGTTGCACAAGCCGCCAAGACGGGTCGCCCCGAAGGCCCGAAGCGCGCGCTACCGGTCCAGTCGGCCTTCTCTTCTTTCCCTCCCTCTCTCTATCTCTCTTTGCTTTTTTCCTCTCTCAAGGCAAAAGAGCGCACGACACAGTGCTATGAGGTCGCCGCAGGGCCGCAGGGCCATACAACCCAAAGGAGCCATTGCTGTGTGAAGTTGGAAGGGTCTTGCAGGACTTTTCAGTTGCAGGTCACAACCATCCTTGCGGGTCCTGGGGCTTTGTGGCTTCAGGCGCCTCATTCGCCGACGCCCTCTATAGACTGGGAGGCTCAGCTGCAGAACCTACGTTGATCCATCTCAGCATCATCGAGGATCCTGGGCTACCTAGGCTTGAGGGATGTGGAGGGTCGAGCCACCTGACTATTGGGTTTTGGGGTTGCCCTAAACCCTGTG